CTAGCAAAAGTGACTGATCTTTTGCCATTTCAATATTTTACTTAAATTAAATTTTTTTATTATCATCTTCGAAGTTAAAATGGCCATTTTGAAGCAAGTAGTGATAAACTTTGTTGAAACCTTAGATAAAAATTTAAACCGACCCTCTTTGATTTAACGGAACTCAGTCTTAAATTTGGAAATTTTTGTTGGGCCTCTGAGAAATGCAATGGATCTATTAGCATTTTTGTACTTATTAATTTTGTCATTAAGAATATTGTAAAGCTTTTTTAACAATTATACTTTTTAGACTGCCTATTCTCATCGAGCTATAGTTGTGATGAAGCCAGCGATGCGAGCTTGATATCTGTGGGGTTGTAAAAGGATGAAAGTCAAATTAATATTTTTTAATTGTTTCCATTTGTTTGAATTTTAGCATGGACTTCTACGAGAAACAAAGAAAAACGTTAAGGAGTGATTAATTTCAGTCATGTTTGCCCTGTTTTGAAATTCTATAAATTACCATGTAAGTACATTTGTATTTTTGGTTTTAGATGGAAAAAATTTTCATTTTACTTGCCTTTCCCATCACACGAATTAACCCGATTGTAACTTTTGTAACAATAAAATAAAATATGCAAAACCGACCATTTTATTTGATCGTTGTGTAATTTGGCGACAAATCATACTTCAAAAGAGATAATAAAGTTTATAAAATTGTTTTTTATTATCGTATTTAATTGCTAAAAATAGAAATTTCTGTTACTCATTATCAGGAAAGGGTTCAGCCAAAAACCATTGACCTTAACACATTTAAGTTGAACCAATTTATACTGGAAGGTGCACTTATCATTAGCATAAACTTTGTGTTTTAAAGAAAACCACAATACATAATTCGGTTAAATTTTCTCTATTTCAACAAATTCATGATGAATCCAATCAACCAAATTTGTAACCATTTCAATTGCATTTTATTATTTACTTTAATAATACATTTACCCATCTAAAATAGCAATTTTTTAGCAAACAAGCACTTCATCCAGTAAAGTATATTTCGCTTCATTGATGAAGAGGATATATTTTACCCTCTGTTTTATAAATTTAAGTGAATTCAAAGCAGGAGTGTATATGTGAGGAGTGTTTTGAATAGGGAGTAGATAACATTTCGCCAGAAAGAGATATCTAGTTTATCTAGAGTTCATCACAAATAGCAGGAATAGTATGTTGGTAAAGCCCAGACTTTGAATTAAGAGGCGGAATGGAAAAGGATTTAGTTAGTGAGCACTTGCATTGAGTGATTGTCTCGGCTGTACAATCTAAAGAAGAACAATATGATGTGCCTTGACAAGATGATCCACAAGAACATTCAGTTATTGAGCATGACGTAAAGAGATCGTTTTCAGAGAAGAACCTTGTTTGTTTCTTGTAGCATCTTTTAAGCAAAATGGACTGGAAACCTGTCTTTTCTTTTGTTTCTAGCGTAAAAATTTTTCGTGAGTTATGATGGAACATATTTATGGAATCATCGATGGAGCCCTTTGAGCAAAGAGGTTCCCTTGCAATGTTGTTGAGCACGATGTTTTCATTTGGGATCGATCGCTTTCCAGTATTCAAATCCGTATAATTTACTGGGGCCTTTATCAATCTATGAGCTTTTTCATCGCCCTTATTAAAATTTTTTTTACGATGGCATACAGCTCTTCGTTTAAAATTAATCGCTTTCAGTAAAACCTTCATTTGCTTCTCATCCGCACGACTAGTTTGTTGAATAGCGTGGTGCTTTATTAAGGAGCGCGTTTGACCATGTCGGGAGTTATATTGATTTTGAGAATCCTCTTGAGAATAAGACTTAATTCCGTGACATCGGCCATTGGCAGCATTTGAGGAAAAAGAACACAACATCCGTCGAAGTGCAAGAGCAAATCGCTGGTTCAACCAGCAGTGGAAGACGAATGTGCAATCACTTTTTAAGGCTAAAGCAAGGTGTATTAGAGCTCGGACAAGACTCATTTTATGACTGGGTTTAGAGAGAAGACCGACGTGTGTGAAGGCTTGGTAAATGACAAAAGGACTCTGACAAATAAAGAATGATCCAATTAGACAGAGAGTTAAAACAGTCATTCGTGCCTCCTCGCGCAAAGTGTTGCGGAATTCAACACCTCCGCGTATACAATGCTGTCTCACAAAGCGACCAGACATTTTCACAGCAGAGAGAAGATAAAAACTGGCCAGACAGAGACACATAAATGGAAGAATGAAAAATAGGATGAAGTACACCAACCACGATTGCACTTTCTCAAAGATTACGAGAGACTTCGGCCATTTGTCTTTTGAGGGTGAAACAACCAAAAATGATTCCAAATTTTGAGTCTGGTTTGCATAGAATTGGTGAAGGCTGGTATTGTTTTTCTGCAAAGAGAAATAAGCCTATTTATTATCTAGTTAACGAGATGTGGAAATTTATTAATTTAAATCGGAATTGTTTTGAAGTCATATTTAAACTAATTAAACTATAAGTATGATATTGTTTAACAATTAAAAATAAAGCGTGCTAAAATAAAAGGTGATTTGCAAATTGTTTATAATAAATCTGATAAAAATTTTATTCGTTAAAACTACGATGTGTTGCATAGCGCTCATTCAAATCTAATATGCTGTGTCTGAAAGCGAAACCTTTATAAGTTGGCTACTGTTTAACGAAGCCATCTTGAAAAATATCGAGAATATTAGGCCCAAAGGTAACTTTGGATCAAAATTTATTGTGCCAAGAAATTAAACTATTAGCGAAAACTTAAGAGAGGACAATTGGAATCTTGAACTCGAAAAGTTTTGGATGAACCTAAGTTGAATGTTAAATCACGTATATGCTACAAGTTGGGATAAAGTAAAATTATACATATTTTAAGACATTGTTTAAAAATTTCTTTCATTTGTAAATGTATTTTTTCACTTAAAAGTTCCATATGTGAATTGAAAATATGTTTTTTTATTTTTATTACAGAAATAAGTCATCGTATAACATAATAAACAGGTATACGTATTTGCAAGCTGAAACATCAAATTGGTAAGGTTTTTTAAATGAGGTTCCGAAATCAATAATATTCATAGATTGGCATATGGCCAAACATTCGAATGTCAAGAAAAGCCTTTCATCTTGAATGGTATCTGGACAATTCAGGAATCAAAGGATTTATTTTTAAATTTACAAAATTTGCCAATAGTAAAGTTGAAAGCACCAGTCATAGGTTAAAATTGAGTAAACTCTGCACAAAGAACTATGAGAATTATTTCCCTTGTTTAAATTTCACCATCTAAAGTTAATTCACTAGCTTCTAACCCAATCTTTCCTTATCCTGATAAGTTATTTGTGATAATTAGCAAAATTTATTTTTTACTTTATTTTAAATTGTTAAAATAATACCAGTTATTTTGTACACTCTAAAGGAAGAAATTGTGATTTCCCTAACCTTCATTTGCATTACTGAGAAAAAAGATAAAAATAATAATTTGGTTATTTCGTCACATGCATTCATTAATTAAAAAACGGTGTTATTATAGGTGTCTGCAAAAAGAAAAAAATATTCAGCATATATAGCATGATTTTAAGAGTTTTAGCGAATGCAATTTCTCTGCCCTAAGAATGGTGATTCAATTTTTAATACAGTGGGACAATACTTTTTCTTATAATTTACTATTTTCAGCATTTTATTTAAACAAAATAATACCATTCATTGGAAAATAATAATTCCTCAAGATTAAATGTCGACACGTTTGCCTCGAGTGTCAAGGAATAAAAATCATGGCAGTGTTTTTTTAAGTAAGGACGAATTTGTAATTAGAAAGTTTATGAATAATGAATGACAATTTATTAGAACCTAGATTTTGCCAAGGATTCAAAAGACTTAACTGGCAATGACTAAAATTGTAAATGAAATGAAATAATGTTTCAGAACCTGCAATATATAGTACACGTTTCTTCTCATCTCAAACCTTTGATATAAAACTATTTACTCCTGTCTTAAAGCCATTTCTAAGATACCTGTTTGAAGCAATGACAATATTGAAACAAGAACAAAGGAGCCATAGCACGTTTTTGACCGTCATTAAAGCCAGTAAAAAGCTTTTTACATTTTATAATGAATCCAAGTAATATTAATGTTATTGAATTTTTTATCTTATTTACATAAGAATGTCTGCACGTGAGTCATATATTCTTCCAGAAACAACTTGTTCCCATTTCATTGTGTCAACATGATTGAAGAATTAAACATTTGGCTCTATCAAAATGTATTAAAAGCAATAATGGCATATTTTCTTCATTGGCAAAGAAAAATTATAATTCAATATGCTGTGGAAAATTAACAAAGGGCATTTAAACAGCGAAGGCGTGGAGTAATTAGTTAGATTTTACATAGAATTAACGGAAAGTTGTTTAACACGCTTTAGTTCTATGCCGTTTTATAAAAAAATTTTTCCATGAGCAAATTCTACCTGTTTTCTGCAAAATGTTAAATGAATATTGTTTAACTTTATATAAAAATTATGAGTGATTTAGGAACTTTGAAGAAAAGGTATTCTTATGATTGCATTAAACCATCACTTGAATATTATGACTTGGCTATTGCTAGAAATCAAGCTTTTGTGGTAATATTCAAACCTCAAGTAACTTGTTAGTATGCAAAATAAAATATTAGTTCAGGTCTCAATTAATTTTTTTCTAAAGAAAGTGCTCCCCTTTGATAAGAAAATACATGTTAAGTTAAATTATTAAATTGGCCTATTAAAGAGGAGCATATGTACCTTTCGGATGCTCCCAAATTCTTTGAAGTTATTCTGTTTGGTAAAGAACGTTTTAAAGTAAAATATAAATTTATAAACTAATTTACCGGGATCCATTTCTAAATTCGAGTATGAATTAATAGAGAAGTATTCAATTAGATAATTGAATTTACCATTTTATTTGGATTTAAAATTCAACCAATTAACTTCAATTTATTATTTTCACATCGAGAAACAAGACTTTACACCTTACATGCCTGAAGACGGAGGTAAAATTTACTTACAAATTCATCAAAAAAAGCTAAAAAAGCCTCTTCATCTTTACGAAAATCTCCCGAGTCTTCTTGGTATCTCTCTGTTTGCATTATGTCTAGCGCCAGAGTGGGGATTGTAAATAGGACTGATAAAATGAAGATCACAGTAACGACAATTCTTCGATGCCTTTCTCGTATCTGCTTAGCTTTGAAGGGTTTTCTTATTGCAATGGTTCTTTCAATTGCTTGTGCTGTCATAAGCCAATTTGAAGTGAAAAGAAATCCAAAAAGACATCCATGCAAAGCTGGTGAAAATCTTTGTGCTTTGAAGAAGGATTTAGACGAATAATCCAAAGACAGTATAAAAATAAAAATGAGACTTAGCAGATCCACAAAGCCCATGCATTTCAAATAGATCAAGGCGGTTATTCGCACTAATTTCTTGCGATGCAGTAGAATAAGGGTAAAAATTAGAGCTCCCATACTAATAAGACATACTGCTGGAGTAATTATATGTCGAATAACTTGCACAGCAGTTAATCGGCTAATTTCACTACCATTGCCGATAATACCAATAGTCTGTGGACTCAAAAACCGCAAAATCTCCGATGGTAAGAGAGTTAAGTTCATTCGTAAAATTAGATTTATAACAAATAGGGTATCATTTCATAACACTACAAAAATCATCACAGTTCTTCCAGCCTATGGTATTTCAACTTTCTTTCGGCCAATCAGATTTATGCTTTGCCCAGAGTATTTGAAATTTCTCAAATGTCTACTTTAAGGGCTAGATTTTTACTACAATCATTTTAATGCCTTTCTTTGTGCAAGTTACTTAAACTCAATTTAAAATCGGCAAAAGAAGTAAATTAAAATCAAATGAAAATAAATGATACAATTTGTAATGTAAGCATCAACATGCCATTTGCTAATCAACTTGGCTATTGAATGAAGTGCATTCTTGTTTAAAATAAGTTTTCAAATTGCCGTTTATAGTCCAGAAACTGTGGCTATTCATGCCTATTAACCGGTTAACTGATTGTGAAGGCAGGTTTTACTACATCAAGCAAATTTCTCAATTTGTTGGCCAGAAGGTACCATGCATTTACCAGATCTTGAACGGCTTACTAGATATTTATCAAGCAACTGCCGCAAAGAATCTTAATTCAAAGATTAAATTGGAGACGTCTTTCGTACTTGATTCACTTAATTTCACTTAGCCTTTGTTATTTCTATCCAACTTTATCATGAATTGTAGTGGGTTCAGTTAAAAAGTCACTTCTATCCATATAATTTTGATAGCATCAAAAGATATTTTGCTTCTCAAGAGGATAATAATGTACATTCAACGCCTTTTAATTAAATCACTGAAGTACTAAAAGTAAATTTAAATGTTTATGAAAGTTCAATCGACACATGGCATTACTGAAAAATAACGTTCACACTACTGTATCCAAGGAAATATTTTATTATTTTGTTTGAATATTTTTTAATTATAATCAATTTGAACTCATCACGCCTTAATTCTAAAGAGTTAAAAAAACAGATTAGGCATTGTTTATCTCATTAGATTCCAAAATAATGAGGTGGGGTAGAATTTCGAAATTTCAAGTGGTGTTAATTATCTACAAAGAAGTCATAAGGTGATGAGGATGTCAGAACTTCGGTTTTTGCAAGCGATGATTTAAATTGCCTTCCTTATTCGTGGTCACTTGACCAATTGAAATAGCGTAAGCTTAAGAAATATTAATTTCCTAGTATTTAGCTGGTATGCGATGAGATTTACGGCATTCAATCCACCGGCAAATTTTTATTTAACGAAAACATATTCTAAGCTCGTAGAATAGTATATTTAATCTAATATTGAACCAGTTATTTATTTGTTTATTGAAGGTTCTCAATCCATCTTGAACTTTTCAATGCAATTCAATGAAAAAGATCTGCATTTGCATTACCTAAACGAGATCTACTACTCAAACTCAGGTACAAGTAGCAAATTTTTTATTTTATTTTAAAACTTTGTTGTCTAAAGCCAGCATTTTCCGTAGTCCCTTCTTAAGTATGCTTCTGCATTAAATTTTTCCTACACTTATTCACCAATTTACGCTTAAACGCTCATTCCACAAACAGCATTGGAGTTTCTTTTTCATTTAACGTAATTTATTGAAAATATAATAAAAAAATGCATTCATCATTGCCACCAATGAAGTTAGTTCATGTGAAAAGTGCAGGCATATGTTGAATAATGGTGGATTTCAGACTAAGGTACTGGGTATTACTTAGCATTATATGAAATTTATAAAAATTCATTGAAATTCTAATAAGTAGAATAAATATACTGTGGTATTCTTAATGAGTGTAACCACTTTGAATTGTCAACGCTTTCTTCATATTATTAGTCTTGGTCCAACTCAGAACAAAACTTTATTTTCAGCAACAGCGAGAGCCTGTTTGACTCGAAGTACGCAACAAGAAGACGCATGGTATTGCTTGATCCACCAATTGACTAATTTGATAATAATTTGAAGGCTTGCTTGACTTTCCATAAATATTCTGACCATGTTCAAATATTTCATCTATATTTAGAAAGAGCATTTCAACTATGCCATTTACGAAAGCGTGTATTTCAGTGTATATATGTAAGAGGAAGAAGATAAAATAACTATAAACTAATTAAAAGAATCCATAGATACCTAAAAGTTTTGAAATAAAATTTGGTTAAAGCAGAAATAAATGAATGAATAGAGGCTGTTGGTTTTCCTTAAATTCACTAAAAGCCCATTGGGTGAGATTTCATTAAAATTTTAACTTAAATAGTAAAACACGTCGTTTAAGCCTTTTAAGCCCGGGGACATGAAAGCATCTCATACTTTCACTTTAAAATGGGAGGTCGATTGTGAATAAGGAAGTTTTCGATTGAATTTGAGTTCTTGAATGCGTTGAACCACAAATCGTGCACTTTTAGTTTAACAAATGTGCAACCTTTCTATTATGATCGATTTCATTTTTTCTACACAATTTAGAAGATATATTAATATTAATATATTAATATTAATGTAAATACTTATAACATTGCCTAATTATGCACTCTCCGTTTTACATATCTACCGCAGGGTTTTATAGCTTTAAAAAATAATATTTAACTATTGAATCATTTACTAGTGTTGAAGTCCAAATAGTCTGAAATATCTAAGTTATGAATTAAGTTAGATTCAGATCAAAAATTTAGTTTTCTCATTATTACTAAAAAATATTGTGATGCAGTGAGCAAGTTTCAATATTAAAGAGTATTCATAATACTTGCTTAAACACAAATAAAGTTACTGCTATGCTGAAAGAAAAAAAAATGATCTGCTCAAAAATACCTATGCCATTGTCACAATATGATAAGTAATTAAGATTTCCATGTTTTAGACACATCCAATGTACCGGATTGCATAAAGTGGGTATTCCACGTTTGTCGTCGCAATGTGAAGGAGGTGTCATGTAAATAAATACAGGCAAAAAAGGAAAATGTCAAGGATTTTTGTTTTGATTTCAAAAGAATGGGACCAAAATAAAATATAAGCAATACGTAATAAAATATTAATTGTAGTAGTTCACCTACCCAACCGATGAACGAAACGTTAGATATGTGAAGTCTGCTTTAACGTATTCACGAAATACTCACATCTTATTTATTTATTTCAAATGGCAGGCGTTCTGATAGTCATCATTAGCCTTTTAGCTGACTTCAGGCTTCACAGAGAAGAGGTGAGACAACAAGGTGACAAAAAGTCGAGAGGGCGGACAGAAGAGAGATTCACAGATGTAAAAGAGACAGACAGGCACAAAGGCAGAGAAGAAGTAAGATGAGTACAGTAAGTGGTCGAATATGGCATATGGTGGGGTCATGGTAGTTGGAAGTCAGAAGTCAAGTGCCGATTAATAGACTTTTTGCCGTATGAGTATATGTTGCCCAGGGTGCACCACGTGGAGGTAAGTCTATCGCACACCCCAAACTCACATCTTAAAGGTGATTAAATTGCATTATATCAAAATCAATCATGTTGACGAAAATTTTGTGCCAATTTTGCTTATTTGAAATGGAGAAAAGTTGTTGAAGCAAAATATGTTTTATTACTAATGGAAATCATTGTGATTCGAAAAACATTCTTGTCAATTGGATAGAAATTTGACTTGTGACAAGTCATTGGCGAAAGCTATTGCCTTGTGACTGGGCGTGGTTGTGCAACGTTAATGAAAGTTGTGAGAAAATGAACGAAAATTCTTGAGGCTGACAGCGCGTCTAATTTTATCCCACGCTGAAAATACTTAATGCAGTATTGTTTCCAAATACAATTATAGTAAGTCCAGTATTTCGGAAAGATGACCAAAAACTTGAAATGTTGCAAAATATTTTGGTGATGGAGTGCATTGTTTGCATTCTATTTTCCCTCAGGTCAAAACATAAAGTGTACTGAAACAAGAAATAGGAATTTCCATTAGAGTAATGCTTGAAGAACAAGAGCATACAGTGTGCGTCAATATGTTTTTTTCATTTAAGTGACAAAAATCTCATTTCAACTTGGGTGAAAAAAAAGCTTTATACTTTTTTTCAGCTTACTACTGTTCTTGTGCTACAGAATACTGAATATCACCAAGTCAGTGTACATTCTTAATAGTAATCAGGAAGAAATGAATTAATGTTACAAAGTACTTCATAGTGATTGAAAATCCTAGTAATATGTGCTTGAAATCTAAAATATGAACTTGCAAATTTGCCAATATATTTATTTATTTATTTATCTCGAATGGCAGGCGGTTTGGTAATTATTATTAGCCCATTAGTTGACTTCAGGCTTCACATAGGGGAAGGAACATCAAAGTGAAAAAATTTGAGATGAAGGGGGGGGACAGAAGAGTGTTTCCAAAATATGAGACGGATATAAAGGTACAAAAAGGTGAGGTGAGTACTGTGAAAGTAGTCGAATATGACAAGGTAAGATGAGTACTGTGAAAGGGGTCAAATATGACAAATAGTCGAGGTGAGGTGAGTACTGTGAAAGTAGTCGAATATGACATACTGTGGGGTGATGGTAGTTTGAAGTTCGAAGTCAAATGCCAGTTAATAGACTTTTTGCCGTGTGAGTATACATTGCCCAGGGAGCACCACGTGGAAGTAAGTCTATCGACCGCCCCATTGTCCAATATATATATATATATATCGCTGATCGTCATATATAGATTTTGGAATGTGAATGTTTCATTTCGGAAATATTGTATAATTTAGATCTAAAGTATAAATATATTTATATCCTCAGCATCTTGACATTGATATCAGCATATTTTTTTCTAGTCTTTCCTCTTTACTGCACGTAATTCGTTTGTCAGGCAAATTTGAGCTGCTTCCCGTGCTAATTAAGTGCACATACCATCTCTTTATTGCGGATATAAATTTTTGTACGACCATCAAAATGCATGTCCACTTAATGGGACCAGGCAGGAAACTAGTGTTTGTAATTTATCATTTCAAGAGACGAGTATCATGACATCTAAGAGAAAGAATACATCGGATCATAGCATTATAGACTAAGCCTATTAAGGTCTTTCAGTACATCACGGCTAAACTTCACTAAGCAAATGACATA